ATTTCGCCCATTCTAGGTACGCTGCACCTCTTATCGCTTCTTTTTGTAAGTCCTTGGATTTCTCCTCTCCGCAAATCTCTTTCCAGTATGCAAGGTCTGCTCTTCTATTATGTGCTCTAATATCTTCTCTTCCTCTTCTGGGAAGTTATAACATATAGTGTTGTTAACTACTTATAAATACAGTTTATGACGTGACAGATCACGTGATATATTGAGCACCCATTACAAGTTCCTAAATAGTTAGGACAGGCTCAGGAACACAAAGTCGTTTCATAGGAGTTGCGTAGTAATACTGTTCGAGAAAGTGTTTAGGGCTGTCCTATTATCTGACGTACATATATACCCAGCGTGAAGGAGTATTCTTCTTCACGCAACGTCTTCTGTTTGAACTCGGACCTATTGTTCACATAATTATCTCTTCTCTAAATAGGACCGCAGTCATTGTACCAGCCTCACCTATTACATATTTTACCTTTACCTCTTCCATGAACCTTATACCTAGCGCTGACTTTATACCTCCTACTCTTAGGAATCACCACCATACTCTACACCTGTAACCTACTTGTACCCAACTCGTACCCTATGGAATACCGATAATACAGTGCCTTGAGAGTAGATAATCATAACTAAGCTATTCATCATATCATCAAGCTACGGTAATCGTTATCTGTTAAAGATTTAATCTGTCCATAACTCTGAGCTTGATGATGGCCAGCAAGACGGAGAATTTCATGACCTGTCATTTAAGGTAAAAGGGCGAAAAGGGTATGAATTAGAAGATAGGACCAATATAGTAAGGGGTGATTAGCCCAGAGTAGGTATGGGCATTGTGAATGTAATCAGAAGCATCTTCATAATAAAATGGAGTCAAGTGCGCGATATATATACACGTGTCATATCCCTATGTGACGGGCTAGGACTTTCGGCCAATGCACGAAAGCAATGCCACAATTAAATGTTTATATTTTCTATGAGGAAATTACGAGCGGGAAGCTACGGCTCTTTATAACTACAATGCCTGTTCCAGATCCCCTTGCCCTTTACACGTGATCGGATAATACTCCCGTATAGTGAGAAGATTTACAAACTCGCTTGAGCCTTCAAGATAAGGATGGGCCCTATAGCCTTAAACAGCCCAGCCAGAACCCAGCCTGGCCTAGCCCGTAACACCCTGTCACTAATAACCAGACCCCGCACTGCCATAAACAACATCAATCTCTGCTATCCATCGCAATCCTGAGTATCGATATGAGTTACCAACATACGGTATGTTTGTACGGGTCGATATCAAGATAGAAATGTTAACATTATCCACTTTTCCCTGCTATCCATAGCCTCTTCAACATTCCATATGTAGAGATAACCTAATGATAATATCAAAACTTTAATAGGGCTCGCATGGTGCAGTGGTACACCATCCGCGCCGTCCTCCCCAGCAAATACTGTCACAGGTCCTGAGCCCGCTAATGTACCCCCTATGAATTAGCTTCCTATTATACACTTTCTTGTGCATTATGGAGCAACCCTCGTGCTTTCAATACTCCAGAGAATCAGAAAAGACTTTGATAACTTCGTTCGATTGTACAGACCACGACCTCATTTCGTGACAAATACTGGGTAGCTTGAAGATCTAACCCACGCGGGATAGGAAAAAGTTGGTTTGTATCCAGTGAGACCCACATATCACCATCTTTCGCGATAATGTCAACTTGTGGGATGATGAAAGCACACTCGACCAGTCACAGGGTTCCCACACTTTTCCCTTTGGTGGGTATGCGCGGAAGTGATTGTACGCTGTAAGGGCTTACTTCGGGTGGTCTCTGCAAATTAAATCTGAGTGTGAGTGTTCTAAATATCAAATTGAATCATCCTACTTCAAAGTACATATCTTCTGTTACACCCTGCATGAGGCAAAAGGCGCAAAATCAGGTAAAATAAATTACATGTATATGTATATATCCATACAACATCGCACAGAGTATCTTTTCCATTAGTGGGCAAGACTGAGCATCTATACGTGGTATCCTCTACGAACTTGGAGTGAAATATTCTCCCAAAACCAAGTTCAGTCACATTTCGCATTTCAAAAGAAGTTGGCACACGAGGCAATGATTCAAAATACTCCACCCTGCCAACCTGTTTTGATGGGCATGTTATACAGCTAGGATACTTGCGTGTACATAACGTGATTAGATGTTTACGCTGTTTGTGTAGTTCCTGTATTGTTTGGGATATCTGCAGGAGGAAGCTCATGTAGTCGGAAGCCGACTAGCGGCCGCACAAGACTGTAAGTAGCAAGTGCTCGGCAGACAATTAGTAGAGTACAATCAAGCATAGTGAACCTCAGATATACCTTCAAACACAACCTTAAACTCATCAATCTATATACTCGTACAAGGTCAGCATGCATAATGATACTAACCTAAGCTCATAACCACAATACAATCTTTAACTCCAAACCAAATGGGTTCCTCTCTAACCTTTATCAAGACTCTCGTCGACTTTCTCTGGCCTCAGTAGACCACCAAATACACGCCCATTGCCCATATTTACACTCGACGGAGGAATCAAAGCGTGGCCCACAAATCTGGGTGACACTTCTTTTAGACGGACGTTAAAGTGACCAGGACAAGATTACAAGATAATGCAAAGGACGGATACAATCTCGAGGGATTTGATGTTTCGAATTTTGACAAGGAAATTTACACATTGAAGAGAATTATGCGCGCCAATACTTTGAATGCGAGAGTGCAGTTGACACTGTAAAAACATGCCAATGATTGAAGGTACTGTGAGTCGCCTCCTGGTGATGTTCCCTGGTATAGTTTGAGTGGCCTGGGCACCTACTCCACTTGTGAAAGAGACGCCTCAGACCACATTTCGTGCGGGGACTAGTGGATGGATGAAGGAGGTATGTCTGGATAACTCAGAGTTTTTGAGAGGTTTCTCCTGACTGGGTGTTCACGGATGAGGGCTGGCTTGGGGTGAAGAAGAAGCCACCATAACTTTGCAGTGGTACTTGCAAATGAAATCCAGAGCATGATTGAATGAAAAATTTTCGTGACGGACACAAGCCCTGCACTCAAAGAGCATGACACGGAGAAGACTAGCTTCTCCGGCGTCTATATACGACGATATTTCAGTTTGACATTTGGACTATTTGTTAAATTAAATAACTTTTGGTCAAACATAATTATTCTTGTACCTGAATATAATGGAGTTATGGTTGTGACTATTGTTTACTTAGGAGCATAATGAGTAAGGCGTTTGGAGATATTATATACCCTGTATTAGTAGTTCCTTATTAGCGTGTAGCGAGGGCTAGGTCGTAGCATTAGGAGAGTGTGCAGAGAAGCACTCGGAATACACGCTCTGTATTTTTATGTTAACCCAATACTTTACCAAATCTACTTCCAGTAGTCCTATATCAGTTGTCTAAGAGAATCATATTCTAATACTACTCATGTATTGGGTGCATTCGCTGATACCACTCGAGACCATGGTGCTAGGGACTTTCACTCTTGCCTCAACCGTTAATATCCACCAAAGGGAAAACAGGAAAAACCCTTGGCTACCCTAACATGCCTTTGCCATCTCTTATTAGGCCGCCGCGCGAGATGTGGCCTCACAGTCCTCCATTTCTTGATTGAAGTTGGTGTCTTGGCTACCCAGACTTTTATTCGGAGAGATGACGACCGGGATGCGGACCAAAACACCTTCCATCGTTGCCTATTTATAGAGTGTCGGTAGCACTATCCTAAATCGTTGCCTCGGCGCCCACAGCCACCCTTAAGTCGAAAACACTCGAAAAATGTGCGTTCCAGCATGCCCATTTGTGACCACTTCACTTATTCGTCCCACGTCCCAGCTACCTGTCATCCCTCAAGATGTGAAGCCCCATTAGAGAAACGGTCCCCCATAGACCAAGACCCCAGCTTTGTAGATTGTGACTTAATTCCCCCTCGCGGGTATACATAGCGTCGTAAATGTGTGGTGGGAGATGGTCGATTTTTTATGAGGCAAATGCCCTATTGCAATTGGAATAACGCCATTATCGGCATTTGAGGCGAGGTGGTGTGTAAATTGAGGTAGAGGACTCGCGTGAGAATGATAGGTCCGACATTGACGATGAGTCGTCGATTTTAGATGTGCTTGTGAGTGCTTTCGGCTTCGGAAATCCAGGGCATGATTGCTCTTTCTTTATATTGAATCATAGCTAGATAGCTGCATACGCAATTAAAATCTGATGCTAAAAAAAGGCCTAGCCCGTAAAATGTTACTCATGTGCCCAGCAATCTCGCGGGAAAAAAGTGATGTGATGCTTTAATTGTACTACTTGAGTTCATGGCTATCTAGCACATTGAGCCCAAAAAAAGTCGTGGACCGCACGATGCTGATCAAATTAAAAAATCTCCATCCAAAAATTAATTACTCGTTTCTTTCGAGATTTTATTCACACTCAGCATCATACTATCTGTCTATCATGATTTCTAACAAGTCCTTTCCAAATACCTGCCGTTAAAATTTATACACTACGATTTTTGTCCTGTAGCGGGCCTTTATTTTGCGGCTAGAGAATGAGTGGATGAGAGGTGTGTTTTTCGAAATGAGGATTTAGCAGGTGCTACCTTCGAACTTGATAAGACTTTGGTGGGAATCGATGGCATCGGGAATAAGATATATCTGGTGGATGGTCTTACATACTCGCAATAAATATTTGCCTAGCGGACTACCACCTTAGGCATCGCTAAATTCAACTGATGTGAGCCTTGAAAGTGTTCTTCACTTCCATGTTCTCCATAGGCAACGTTGATTAAGCAGTCCTATCACGAGAACGGCCTTTGTCGTAGCCTGAAGATAGGCTAAGCGAACTTAAGCCGCAAGAGCGTCGGATTGTAGACCTCAGGCTGTAATATTCTCGGCTGAATATGTATGGGCAACACGGACCAAAAGCGGGACAAGGCATCTGTAGATAACACGCGCGACGCGGATGATTACTCAGATTCGTGATTCTTCCAATTTTGTCAGCTCTCCAACGAAACAGCATTTCCAGTATTAAGCTCCATGTCAACACGTCCAATGGAGCACTCGTAGGCTCTTCGCTGCGTAAATCCCTAATGACTCGCCATAATCTGGATATCCACGTATCTTGGCTTCTATCGCAGAGCGACTCACAAATTGCTGAAACCTGCGCCCACAACAGAACTCATGTTCCCCAACGACTCGATTCTTTTCATAAGGAACCACAAAAAGATTATAATGAAGAACAGAGCTCTACCCTCACAAGCTCTGTACCAACCAATCCAAATGATTTAATTGCTATAAGTGTTAGTCCAGACTATGTGCGCTTACAGTTTCTTAGCTCACTCAAAGCAGCAACATTCTAGAAATATGAGTTCTTTTGGGTCTAAATCAATGGGTAAACTCACATCTGCTTTAAAAACATCTCGACCAAGCCTCATCACTGGACAAATAACCACCTCTGTATCTAAATTGCTTCCAAAGCCAACCCCTAATAAAGAATCAGCAACATGCCCAAAAGATCCCAACAAAGGTATGAGGAAAGTTACTAGTATGTATGCAGGCTAATTGAATTGAGAAGATCTTCCTTTTACTAAAATTAACCGTCAAAATTTACCGGCCGGCAACAAATCACGTCGAGCACCTTTAAGCCCTAGGCCGACCTCCGATCAGAGACAAGAAGTTTGTCATAAAAACGTCGAATCTGTTGACCTGACGAGTGAAAATGAAGAGGATTTATTGATGCTGTTTAATGGTCCAGATTTTATACCTATTGAACAACAGACTAGCTCGTATAGTTTCGACAAAACTCCTGACCCAAAAGCATTTTACCAGAAATCCGAGAAGGAAAAGAATAACCACACCGTAAATAGCGGGTTCCCTCTAGTGCTGCATAAGAAAATTGCACAAAACTCTTTTGTTAAGCAAGATGAGTTTGTTGACGTCGATGAGGTTTTAACATTCCAAAAAACAAATATATCATCGGATGAAACTCAGACACATGCCTCGCAGTCTCTACATGACGATAAGGATTTACCATCTGAAAAAATAGCACCAGTTGAAACACCAATACCCCAGATCTATGGCAAATCCGAAGTAAGTCTTCAGAATCAGGCCATGTCGGCGCCTAAAACTCCGAAAGCCCCTCCTATTAATACAAAAATACAAGCTTCACTCTCATCTAATCCTAAAACCCAGTCTATCGATGGAGGTCCCGAAGTTACGGCCGCTGTCCAGGTTGCCGCGTCACCTTCTAGACAGAAAATTATCTTCGACACTACAAATTCTCAGGTAAGACAGGAATCAAATGAGTACTGGAAACAAATTGTCATAAATGACTCAGACGATGATGAGCTACTGCCTGATCTAGAAAGAGTTTTTAGCTCTTCGATTCACAACTCAGCGGAAAACAGTCCGCAAGAAGCTGGCCCATATCCAAGCTCCAAAGTAACTGGTATCAACGAAGTTAGTCAAATTGTCAAAACGAAAGGTTCAATGAGTTCTACGACCTCAGCTAAACCTACAGATCCCCACCCAAGAATACCACAAAATTTTGCTGAAAAGCCAGAAGTTTCTCTCTCGCCTCTCTCCCTTGAAAAAAAACCAAATCTACAGGAGTCTCTAATAGAAGAATCTAGTCAGCTTCAAACACCACCATCCTCACTTTTTATGGAGGATAAGAAACTTGTAAACCTATATCTAAAGTACCCATCTTCTATTGAATTATTTCGTGAGCGTGCTTCAAATTCACTCGCTCAAAACTCAATCGCCTCAATGGCATACATTGATGCTGATGAACCCGCCCCGCTACATCTAAAAGATGAGCGCCGAAAATTACTCGGTAATCTTAAATCATACGCTGAGTTAGAGACCTTGCATATAAAACATCAGTCCCTCATAGATGAGAAAAAGACCCTTGTCCGCAGAGTGATGGAGCTCCTCGACAGCAATATGGACACTAGCTCTCAGGAGGAACGACAATCAGCTATTTCTCAAGATGTCAAGACCATAGAGCACCAGCTTGCTAAATTGTTACATTCTTCTGGTGCAGTTAATGACGGATTTGGCTCTGAGAATAACGACAACACTTTCCTCAAAAACCTACACCCAGTAGCAAATACTATAGAAGATGTTATTCCTAAGAAGCTCGCACGTAGTGCCACAGAAAAACTCCAAGCAGATGTAAATTCACAGTTTCTCACGAAACAAAAGGATTTAATCAGATCTAATAATACTTCACGCGAGCTATCACCTTTTCAAAAATCTCCTCACACCTATAGCTGTCTCCCGACACGCTCTCATTTACTTACATATTCCGTGTCACCATCTCCAGCAAGTCACACTTTCGAATCTACCTCTAATATGCAGCGGCTTACCAGTAAAAAACCAGAATATAATCTCCTTAACAGTCAGTCAAGAGAATTTCATAATTCTCACCATGATACCAAACTTTTTGAAGAAGATGAGGATATTTCTGCAACACTTTTAAACGAGGCTCAGAGGACTGATGAAGAGCAGGATGAGGTAGAATTTTACGGTGATGAAAGTTTTGGAGACAGTGAATATGATGAAGACATGCTATTCATTGCTCAACAAGTCGAAAATCAGGATCCAACCTCACACACGAAAAATAGTATCAAACAGCAGCCTATATCTGGCGAGTCTAGGCATTTAAATGAGGGCTTGAAACTAAACTGCCCTAGTAACCAGAAGAATATGTACTCTCCCGTAGAAAACCAAGCTCTTCTTTTCAGGTATCCATGGTCAAAGGATGTCAAAAAAATGCTCAAAGAGCGCTTTAAGCTAAAAGGGTTTCGGCATCACCAGCTAGAGGCTATCAATGCGACTCTAAACGGAGAGGATGCTTTCATCCTAATGCCTACCGGCGGAGGGAAGTCTCTCTGCTATCAACTGCCCGCGGTAGTACAATCTGGAAAAACCAAAGGAGTCACCATAGTAGTTTCACCACTTCTCAGTCTTATGCATGATCAAGTCGAACATTTGAGGAAAAATTACATTCAAGCTGCCACAATAAATGGAGATACGGACAGTAGTGAGCGACGAGAGATAATGAACAACCTCCGACAGCAGCATCCTGAGCAACATATTCAGCTTCTTTATGTCACTCCTGAAATGGTCAGTCAAAGCGGTCAAATGGGAGATATTCTATCAAGCCTTAATCAAAGGTCAAAGCTGGCTAGATTTGTCATAGACGAAGCACATTGTGTAAGTCAATGGGGTCATGACTTTAGAAAGGAATATATTGCTCTCAGCAGACTGCGTAAAGATTTTCCTTCGGTTCCAATCATGGCTTTGACAGCTACTGCGACAGAAAATGTTAAAAATGACGTTATCAACAATCTTGGCATGGGTAAACCTCCTATCTTTAGTCAGAGCTTTAATCGACCAAATCTCTACTATGAGGTACGACCAAAAAGCGGACGGAAAATGCCAGAACTTTTAAAAGAAATAGCAGATTTGGTGACTCGTAAGTATAGAGGACAAACTGGAATAATTTACACGCTCTCCCGTAAGGGGTGTGAGGATATGGCTAAAAAACTCTCCAAGGAATTCAATATCAGTGTTCATCACTATCATGCTGGCATGAAATCTGAAGAGAAGACTAAAGTACAACGTGATTGGCAAAGTGGAAAGCTTCAAGTTGTAGTTGCAACCATCGCCTTTGGAATGGGCATTGATAAACCAGATGTTCGGTTTGTCATTCACTACACCATTCCAAAAAGCCTGGAAGGGTATTATCAGGAAACAGGTCGCGCTGGCAGAGATGGTAAAAAGTCTGGATGCTACCTATATTATAGCTGGGGCGACACTGTGATGCTAAGAAAATTCATTTTTGAAAGTGACACTAAAAATGACCAAAAAAGTACTGATCAGAAAGAAAGAGAATGGACTATGCTTCAGACTATGATCGGATATTGTGATAATCGAGCGGATTGTCGGAGAATGCAGGTTCTCCGATATTTCGGAGAAACATTCTTGAAAAATAACTGTCGGCATTCCTGTGACAACTGTAGCTCGGGAATTCTCTATGAAAGTAAAAATTTCACTAATTGCTCCAAATTTGCCATGGGAATTGTGCGGCATCTGAAAAGCCACAAAGCAACCGTTCTCAACTGTGTAGAGCTACTACAGGGTAAGAAAACGAAAAGTCTTTCAAAATTCAATGCCGAAAATTTTGAAGAGTTTGGATCATGCAAGGAAATCTCCCGAGGTGATCTCGAGCGTGTCATGTATCGTCTTATTTTAGAGAATGCCCTTGTGGAAGAAAGTGTCGTCAATGTCGGAAACTTTACCAGTCAATATATTAGGGTAAGCAAAAGACCAGTCACTGAATAACAATTTACTGATCTTCGCAGCTTGGTCCAAATAGCCGCGACTTCATGACCGGACGTAGGAAAGTGCACCTAGATGTTCCGGTGGAATTAGGAAAGTATTCAACGACTGACTCAGCATCTAAATATCCTACCTCGACTATTCTAACGTCACCAATACCACATACCATATCGAAAAGACAAACGAAGCAATCATCCTGTGTCTCTGAGGCAAAACGGCGTAGATGTACACCCAAAGCAGATTTTGGGACTATTGTAGAGCCGGCGTCAAGTCGAATCTGTAGGCTACCAAAATCCATGCTAGGTCCTCCTATCACTATAGATCAACAACTAGCTCAGCTTCCTGACATTCATCGAGATTTAGTTTATAGTTTTGTTGAACAGGCAAAGGTTGTCGAAGAAAGACTTCGGAATAAGACAGGAGTAAGAAAGCCATTTTTCTCCGAAGCCAATTTTCGAGAAATGGCTATAGCATGGCCCATGACACTAGAGGATATGAAAGAAATGACTGGAATCAATATTGAAAGGGTGGAAAGCTATGGCGAATATTTCATTCCGTTGGTGAAACACTTTTACAACTCCTACAACGAAATGATGGGATCCAAAATGCATGAAAAAGAAGGAGACATGGATAGGAATCATCAAAATGTGGTCATTGTCTCAGATGACGATGATGATGATCATGAGTCTATCTTAGATGAAGAACAAGAAATTGCTGTCCAAACTGCCGAAAGGTCACATCACTTCTATCATCCTACGCAGAACGAACGAGGTACTCAGAGAGATTTTCGATCCGGCAGGGGCAGGGGCAGGGGCAGAGTTAGCAAAAAATCTGTGTCGCGGAAGAGCAACCGGGCTGCCACTGGACTTCTGAATGCAGGTATTGTCAAAAGAGGAAAGCCAAAGAGTATCCGAAGCGCAGGAACCAGCGGATCAACTTTATCTCGGAGATATATGTATGGCGGAGGTCACAATGGCACAAGTAGTGGCATTGGAATGATGCCGACATGAAATCGCAACTTAACCATAAGAGACAATTTTTCGAGTCTTTGGCTAAAGATTCAAAACTAATCAGGGAAAGCAGGTATTCGAGTTGCATAGAGACATGTAAAATGACTGATAAATTGCAGCTATCACTCTGCATCTCGGAAGCCCACGAGAGCAAAGAAAATCGTTAAGCTACTCTCAAGGCTCGCACGATTTAATTGTGAGACTAAGGCATTGTACATTCGAGCAGGTTCCGATTGTATCACAGCTGTCTAGCCTATAATTTCCCATAGGCTAGCCACTCGGCAACTATTATGTTTACTCCGAGAATTTGGAGTAAATATGACGCGTGTCAGCCACGAAAAGCCTGCTATGCCACCCGGGCTAACAGTACAAGCAAAGTTCGTATTTTGGTAAGATGAATTCTCCATGACCCGACAAAAGTGCCAGCTAACACAAATTAGACCACGGGATATATCTCCTCAGTTTCCATAGAGGAATGTCTCTTCTTAGTCTAGTTCAAGCTTTCAAAATCCTTCTTTTTAACGACTAGCTGTTTGAAACTAGATTCCTTTGACTAGGGACTATCGCCAGATTTCTACATACCTTTGGGCTGACAAAAAATTTAATTGCCCAAAGTCAGGACCGCAATAGATAAATTATAACATTACCAAATTTTAAATCCATATCAACTCCTGACATATTGTGTTACTTAACGTCGTAGACAAAATTGGACAAGCGGAAAGAACCGAAACGGTTATTATTTCTCGTGCCGTTAGTATATGCAGCTGAAATGATTATATACGATGTATTCTCATCGTAGCACCTCTAGAAGTGTCATAAAATCACACTTCTTTTTGTTCTAGATCATAAGTTATGAGCGAGGCTTGGAATAGACCGGAAAACTGTGTGACTTCAACATTACTTTCGATAGCTTAGTGCGAGCAGTCCAGCGATATCAGTTGTAAATTTTTCCAGGTAAATTTTATGCCATTAAACGCAAAAGCATACAGGAGCTTATGGAAACGACAACTCGGATCATCAGGCAATAATAGCAGCCCATCTCGAATTACAATGAGAAATATCATGCAATGACTCATGCTGATGTGATTTACCCCTTATTAATAAGTAGGGTAAGACCTGAAGAATTATGATATACTCCCTATTGCGATATTACAAATTTGAAATCAGCCCAAGGGTCCCTGAAAGAAAATAATATACAAATTTAGATTCAACTCTCGATCCTTTAATTGCGGCATGTGTGAGAAACGAAGAGTTTAGCAAAAATCTCAAAATTTTTAAGCGAGGAAACTTATGTAGCTGCATATATAAAACTGCTTTAACTTCCGTGTACTCCTAATCCTGAAGGATACATGGCTTGAACAGAACGAGATATTATAATCCCAAAGACATTGGACGTAGCTAGATAGCTACAGACATAGGTTGAAAAAGTAAGGCATTTTACTGCATGACTAAAACGCAGACGAAAATAGGCTAAAAGTGATATGAACCTAGACTTGCAGTTTCTAAGTCTACTCAACAATACCTGCAGTAGTTTATCGATGCAAACATCACTCTTTCGGGGTCTGATACGTGGTTGTCGGAAGCTAGTTTACCAGCGATTTACTATGACTTTTAATCAAACAGGATATACGTGTGGGTAATATGGATCGGAAAATACCAACTGAAAATCATACTCATTTAGAAGATGAGCAAGATAGGCAAAGTGATGACTTGAGTAATAGCAATTGGAATATGATGCCTAACGGCCAGGATATTTACAAGCTGAAGAAAATGAAACAATTCATCACTCAATATCTTTTATGTGCCCTAGGCTGCGTTTTGTCTGAGTTCACTATGTTAAAAGCCTCTCCACATTCTGGCACTTTGGGGAGTTTTTGAATGCTTGCGCTACTATGACTGCCTTCATTTTATTGCAGCTGACTCACTGGGTGTCGAAGAGATGGTTATCGACTTTGTAATCTCGGACAACAGGCATAAAATAATTATGGATTGTCAGATTTCAATATGTGTAAATATACGTTAGGTATTGCAAAGAAAATACAATAAAAGTGTAAATGTAGATGAAAGATAATTGATTATATCTAAAGATGTGCTTATCATAGAACCTTCCCGTCTTCACCTCCGGTCCAGGTCACTTATAACCTATCTATCCAAAGTATTCATACGTCATCCATTTACTTAGCAACACATCAAGACTTAATCTTCAAGTTAGATTTAGTTATAGTCACGTTTACAAAATGTTACATTAATGTTCGCGATGGTGATGTTTTCCTATGCTAAACATGCACTGATGTAACAGTTTAACACATATGTATCAAAACTGAACCTCTCACACTTTGAATCATAGACCTTCGGATTATACTCCAAGGAGAAACAGTAGCCTGAAATATATCCGAGCATCTCTGTATATTCCTGACCCTGATCTAATCCAAACAGATGGCTTTAGTGCCAGATAAGGCATACGTAGGTAATTAAACACAAAGTAAGCTGACTCCCATCAAAAAGGCAGCACTAATTGTAGGTTGCACTTCCAGGGCTAATTATGTTGGCCTGTACAACAGCAGCGAAGTTAACCGGAGAATGCCTCTATTAGGCCCTTGGTAGCAGGACAGTTCAGTCGTCTCAGGTGATGGAATAACCCGTAAATCTTGCCATCGAAGTCGCTTTATGGCAGTAATACTAGCATTGTCTATCAAGCTATGAGTCCTATCGCAATTTTCGCATTACAGCACCCTTTATATCTTAACTCTCGGCCTTCAATCGGCCACTATTTACGCATCAAATGCTAGATTGGCGGAAACAGCTTTGTAGAGGCTATGTCGATTTTCAAGCTCTAAGCTAACAAATTTGGTGTAATCGTGCATCACCTGCAAATGAATTTTTTTGCATCAGATCTTAATTGCGCTTGCAGCTATCTAGCTATGATACGATATCAAAGAAAAGTAAAGAATAGATGATTCAACGTAAAGGAAGGGCACTCATGCCTTGGATTTCATTTGCAAGTACCACTGCGAAGTTATGGCGGCTTTTTCTTCACCCCAAGTCAACCCTCATCCGTGAATACCCACCCAGGGGAACATCTCAAAAACCCTGAGTTATCCAGACATGCCTCCATCATCTTTCAACCTTTCTCCGCGCGAAATATGGTCTGAGGCGTCTTCTTCCCAAGTGGAGTAGGTGCTCAGGCTACTCAAACCATACCAGAGAACATCACCAGGAGGCGGACCACAACACCTTCCATCTTTTGCTTATTTTTATAGTGTCAGCTGCACTCTTGCAAATGTATTTGCGTGCCGGCGTTCTTTCATTACTCTGTTTAGTCTCAATGTAAGATAAAAATTAGTAACTACTTGTAATTCACGACATTCTACATGTTCCCCTTCCTCACAATCCATCTATTTATAACAAAATTGAACTCTAGATTTAATAAAATATCGAGTTTCTTGATTACTAGTCGGTAGGATCGATCTCAACCCTCGAAAAACTCACTTAACTCCGCCATAATTCAGCATCGAGTTACAGCAAGGAGCTTTTTCCATCTTTCAGATTTTGTATCTATCAGACTTTGGTAACGCTAGTGCTTCTATTTATCGACTTGTCCTCACCTAGGCTGATAGATAGTTTACACGTCATGGATCTAGCGAAGACATGGACACAATACTTATGCCGTTACCTGTAAGAGCAGCATGTAGACAGCAGGGCGGAGACATGGGTCAAAGGGGTAGTAAGATGGCACCCATTAGCCTGACTACCACCCCTTTGACCCACGTCTCCTCCCTGCTGTCTACATGCTGCTCTGACATTACCCAAAGTTCAAGTAAACACAATTCCTATTATCCATATTTGTATTCCAAAGTTGATCTGAGAAGAGTAGGACTTATGAGGAAGCACCTTTGACAAATAATCATAATGGCGACATTGAGGTTTGAGAGGATAATTATAAGCTGCGTGCTTGACCAGCTCTTCAAGTTTGGCTCTGCTCGATTAGGGCTTTTGGTATTTTTCAGACTTCATTGAAGATACGAGGTTAGAGCTTTATTTCCTATCAAAAGTGCATCATGAGTCAAGGCCTAGACTGACGCCCGTTTCCGAATCCACTCATCACGCATGTGAATCCAAGGTAGGTGCCTTTCATGTGTCCAGGTACCTGTTGCGCAGGCCAAACTGATGTGTACTTTGAGACTCCACGATGTACAATAGTATTTCCTTTCTAAATAAGATGAGTTATTCATATTCTGATTTTGATTTCATTTAGCCCGATTTGGCGCCCTATGGGCTCATGCAGGTGTCTTCGAATTCTAATATTTACATAGGAGGAAACCTTGCGGTAAAAACCCCCTTAGCTGTCTGATTTGACTCTGCGAAATTATAGTCTTACCTCTAGGAAGTGCACTCATACTGTTGTTGCCAGTGTGGATTCCGTCCTTGTCCTGTGTATCCATTTTCCTCTCTTCGCCTGATTAACGCCTCGATTTCCCCGGTCGTTCGAAACTGCTCTAGCTATCCTTCCTTTTGAATCCACTGTGAAATTCTTGTCATATCTTCGACGTTATTTACCATAGCTTCGAAGGATCGAGTTGTCGATTTTCGTAGCAACTCACCTCATCCCTTTGCCCATCTTGGACAAGACATCACCATGTGCTTTATATTTTGGGACAGATATCCACATTGGCAGCATGGTTTTCCTACTCCTGGCACGTTCCTTCTGTATAAGTAAGCATTGAGCCCAATGTGCTCGCTTCTTACTTGTGTGGCAATGCTACTCTGGGCCCTGCTAAGGTTTTGGTGGATTTGGATAGGTGACTCTCTATAGTTCATCATAAGTCTACCTGTTTTCTTGTCGTTGTATAAGTCTGCAGCATTCCACTTATCCGGATTGGCTTGCGCTCGGGGACCCAAGTGTCGCTTCTTCTTCTGGCTCGTCCACGATTCTGACCATTCCTTGAACGCGGCGTTCTTACCGGCTACTTTCTGTCCTGTTTTAGACTCGATGTTGCTGC